TTCAACATTAAGTTTCTCTTTCTTTATTGGGGAGAGGAGGAGGCCAAGGGGAAAGCTTTCAGCGAGCCGCATCTTTGGAGATCGACATGGTTGAGCGGTAAACTTTGACGGGTAAGAGGTAAAACATGTTCTACTCACAATCGCTGATAGAAAGGATGAAAATGAGAGCCGTCTTTGTGGAACTACTTCAATCTTGTGGTCAACAGGAAAGTTATCAACAGCGGACGTCATAAGAGTGGTAAAAGCGCTGCAAAACTGTAACGCTAGAGCTGTCTACGGAACCTATGTAAGGACGGTTTCGATGTTGACGCGTCGGGTAGGTGGAAGTGGACAGCAGTGAAAGGAAGAGATACACAAATCAAATGTTCCCGCAGAAAAAATGTCCAAATTGCGGCCTTAGTTTTTGCGTCTCGAGCTCAAGGTCGGTGGTTCTACGACCAACGATGCCTATTATAGCTCGAACAGAGGTATCTCCACACCTCAAAGTAAATTCGCTGACCTATACCGACAGCATTGCAGGCTTTGAACCAGTATTGTTCGACTTCCTCCCTCCTGACTTCTCCGAGGTGTGTCTACTTACGGGTGCTTCACTAGACAGGGAAAGATGTGTCTATCCCAGTCCGCAGATCGAAATGCACACCCACTTTCCGCCTCCTGCATACAATGCACATATTAAACAACTTATGTGCATTACATTTGTAATTCCTAAGGTGGAAGGTTGACGACTAAGGCGACGGTGAAAGAAGGAGCTGTTTGTTTAACTGTCTAGTTCTAGTAAGGAGCCGATTTGAGACCTTCCCATTGTGCCCTCCTTCGGAGTCCCGAACCTTGAGCTGTCAGTAGTCCAAAGCCCCTCTGTGCACCAGCAGTGTCTGAGTGATGAATTCGGTTTGGATTTCAGGCTGCTAAACGAGATCAGAGAAGATGGTCTTGACACCATTTTACAATCAAAGTTTTCAGTCTAAGCACCTATTATTCTGCAAGAAGCAAGCACCAATATTTGTGTAAAAAAAGGCCAAGATTTGGTGCAAAGTTGGTGGGAGTGAAGAGGACTGAAAGCAAAGTAATGATAATGGATGCGTTGGTGTTAAAATAATCCCAGTTCCGTGTGTAGTCAATTCCTTCATCGGTTGGTCAGGTGGGGCATCGCTTACCGCTCGTAATGGGAGCGTAGTGCTAAAGAAAATTGGTGTTTTGATTAGCCAAAAAGCTGCTCAGGTCGTTTCTAATAAATTTTGTACTTCCGGAAATAATATGCACACCCCAAAACAGTCATCTTGTGTTTGTATGCGTGTGTGCGCGCCCTACATTGAATTTTACGTCCGGTCCGCGACTGAGCAGGTGGGTGGCGGGTGGAGGGCAGCAGCGAGGGATATTAATGTGGAGGCAAGTGAAGGGGAGTGAGGCAGGCATTAACTGTGTGGATTTGACGTTTTCGCCTAGAAACCCGAGAAACAATGTGTCCACGGTGTCTGCATGTCCCCAAATCATGCGCTGCTTTGCTTCGCGTTGGAGGTGCATTGCCTTGGCCTGCCTTGGCTTGTGTGTGGGGACAGGAAACCGGAAATCTTGCCAAAAGTTTAGAAAAAAATGAAGTAGATTGTTCTGAACCTCCTTTTTTCGTCTCTGCTTTTAATTCTGCTTATTAATCACGGACAGGGATATGGGTGACCAAGTCGCTAAGGTAAACTGGGGGAATGTGTTTTGAAAGGTCAAGTCGGCTCTGTCAGAGAGGCGGATGTGGCCTTTGTTGCCTCTGATCAAAGGGGGACACACATTCTGGTTTGAAGACTTTGTACTGCATTAATTTCTCTTTCCACTTTTTGTGATCGATTGTTGGTGGGCTCGAGGTGACAGACTGTTTTACTGCCTCAAAATTGTCCATTCACCTAGCAAGCCGAAGCATGGAATACCGACGGGGTTGTGACGGACCTCTACAAAAAAACCGTCTCTCTACTGTCTGCATCAAACAAAGAGCGTTGGATGGGTCAAACCTAGTTGTCATTAGTAAAGTCGAGTTTAAGGGTTTTGGATTGAAGCTGATGGTCGTTAATAACTGAGATGCTGCAGAGTCGGCGCCGCCCAACATCCGCTGGACTGGACCAGGAGCGTCAAAGAGTCCTCTACACGTATTCTGCTTGAGACTTTTTTCGCTCAGATGTCTTCAGAGAAGTTCCAGTACACAACATGGGAAAACTTACTTAATTCGGAGGCACGGGTAATCCGTTTGTGCCTGTTCCATTCAACGAGAGGGACGACGAGTGAGTCTGTCAATCAGCCCAACAGGCTACCACCCAAGTTTAGGACAGCCAAGTGATTCCTCATTTGCATTGTGATGTCCCTTGAAGGGTTCACAGATGACAGTCAAGATCAACTTCAAGTTTGCTATCCAACATTACCTTCTCTGCAAAAAAAAGACTACCACTTAACTAAAAGTTCACAAAATCTTCACCACTATCAAAGACGAATAAAACCTGAAACAAAACCTACGATAGCGTTTCACATTTTTTTTGTGACTAGAGAAAAAAAACTACTGTCAAATAATTAAATGTGGAGGCGCTTTTTTACGCAAATTGTTCAGGACGTTGTGCAGGTAGGGTGTGACGAAGTCTTAGCAGGCAGTGCGATGTGTTCCACCCAGTATAAGTTCAAAGTTTTCACCATCACTGGAACTCTGTTTTCACTATTCGCACTCAAGTGAGGATTACGAATCACCAAGGCAACAAGTGTGACTGCTACACACAAGAAGAGTCTGATGGAATCTACCGAAATAAGTTAAATGGGTATGTATGAGGTAATCACACACAAGCATAAATCCATACCCATTTACTATTAAAACACACCATGCTCCACTAAGAAAGAAATTTTCGTTACCTTGAGGAGTCATTAGGCATACACTTCAAGTATAGGAGCTGAGTGAGTACATTTACCAAAAAGTACAGCTTCCCGCAAGCCAACAATAAGGGGATACTGTCTTGAGGTCCACAGCCGCAATAAAGTGAATTTAGGTGAAGTAGAACGCAGCAATGGGAAATGCAAAACCTCTTAATTTAGAGCCCTCAAGAGTGCTGTCGAAACACAAAGGTCCTGGAGGCATTGGCAAGGTCAAATGTACAGGTCACCCCGAGGAAGGCCGGTGACGGCGTTCCTCCGCTGAAGCTAAGTTTCGGAAACGACTGATGACTTAAGATTCGGAGGAGCTGAATTCAGCGAAAATTTTAAGTAATGCTTGATCTTCTGTAAATGTTGGGCAGTTGGCTACCACCAAATAATCGTGAAGGCACCTTTTCCGCAGCAATCAAAAATAATGTCACAGACGAATAGGTAAGATGGCTTCAGTTGTGCAAAAAAGCAAACATTTCACTTTAGGTGTGGTAAAAAGTGGCGAAGAGGCAGTGACAGGTGCAGCACGATCGGTTGCCATTAAATAGGCAGTTATGCGCACAAATGAGCTGGAACACGTGGAAAAAAGCAGCACCACAAACATGTTTTGCTTTTTTGGGGAAATTAGAGTGACTTTGGTTCGCTCACATGCGTCATTAAGCACAACCAAAAGTTTACGCCCCAGCATGCATCACAGCGAAGTGAATGTGGAAGGTTTGATTTACTCATGAAAATTTGAGCAATATCTCAGGAAAGGCGCTTCATTTTGGTACTCAAATAATAGTCTTTGCGAAGCAAATAAACGAAACTGTCGGTAATGTCGACAAAAAGTTCACGCGTATGAAAGTACTCTGGGTAACATAGCCCTGATCCTAAGCTGTCGTGAACAAAAGAGATGTATTTCACCATCTCAAAATAACCCAACACTTGAAAGAAAAAGACGTGCAGATGTAGACGCGGTCAAGTTAGCGCCAACAATAATTTTAACTGATCAACTGTGATGCGAATACCCTCAAATCCAACGTAGGAAACGTCCTCTAGTCTTAAAATACAGTCGCTACTACAGTTTGGAAAAAGAAGCTATCAAATAAAAACAAAAATGCATTAATTGCACAAGAACGAAAAAAATACTTTAATTGCAAATATTTTATGTGATGGTAACAAATTGCACTTAGTGACGCAGCAGAAAAGAAAGCTCTAAAAAATCCTAACCCCAAAACGATTATCGATGGTGTTATTACACAGAAGTAGAGGCAAACATTCGAAGCAACCCAGTTGGCTGATTGTACCCCATTATTTTAGGAAATGCTTGCAACCGTGTGTACCTAACAATCAGGAACTTTCATCAATTATATTGCATCAACAAAATATCCCTGCATGAAGAGATGCCTCAACGTTATGATAGGCTGAAGGGAATGTCAGGAGATTTGCGTGGTTCTTACAACTAGATGTTGTTGTAGTGCACGTTTTAGGAACTTTTAATGCAGAAAGTGAATAGTAATGTGTGCTCAAAAAAGAATGGCAAACTTCTTACGATGATCGCAGTTTTATTTGTGAGCTTATCCATGTTAAAGCCAAGATTTCTTTGTATACACATGTGTATAAACTCTGTCCTTAATCACTACGAATAAAATGCTGGGGAATTTTATGCATTTGTCTAAATAAAATCTGACTTTTGATAATAGATAGCTTAAGGAAAACTATACTTGTTTGAACATTTAATACTGAGGTGCGCTCTTTATGTATCTCCACCACCAGCCAATTAGAGCATGGAGTCTAATGGGGTTGCCGTGAATGACTTTCAAGAACGAAAAGGAAAGGACAAAGTAGTTTGATTACATTTACCAAGCTTATTAGTCTAGCGTCCGCTATTTTTTTTAAGCCCCAAATTTAAACCAAATTGGCCTCTTAACGCAATTGAGCTTCAGAAGCTGCTTGGTTTATGCTTCCTGCCACAGCACTACCGACAATGGCCTAAGTAATTTTGTCGGGTAATTCTTCATCTATTGAATGGTAGATGGGCCATATTGAAACGCCCTCTTCTGGTTAAATCAGTTGTTTTGATCGAATATGACGGGTTTCCTGGAAATGTTACCGATTCGTCGCTTTTCTCGCAGATGTTTGATAAAGTTGGTCTCTTACCTTATTATCATTTTCATTTAGACTATTCGTTTCCTCTCTCCAGCGAATTATGAGTCCTCTTGGGAGTTTGAACTTTTAATGGTCCCCTCGTCCTACCTTAGTGTACACGCTCGGGAAATGGCCCGTAAGTGTCAAAATTTTTTTACAGAGGTAGAAATGAGTTTATCCATAAAGGGGAACTTTTCTCTTTAGACTCTCATAGAGCTGTAACCACTCCTGTTGGCCCAAAGCGCTCGATAGATCCTTCAGCAGTTTCGCTCTCTAACCTGATTCAAAACAAATCCTATAAAGTGGCGAAGCTGGAGTCCGAGCATCCAAATTCTGAAGCTCCGTTCCCACTTCCTGAGCCTCTAAGTGATGACATCTTTGATCGCACTTCACTGCTTTTGAGTTTGGAACAGATGATTGAAGAGAAGATACCCCTTCCTAAGGAAGAAGCAGGCATGAGTTGGCAAAACTCTTGGTCATCTTTCGTAACTTTGAAGGAACAATTCGAACCAGTGACAGCACATAGTCCAATGTTCGCACTTGACTGTGAAATGGTTCTGACTCCTGCTGGCAATGAGTTAGCCCGAGTTACAATAGTTGATGAGATTGGTTGTATCCTGTTGGATAAACTTGTGAAACCACGTAATCCAGTGGAGGACTATTTGACTAGGTACTTTCTATATAGATACCATTTTCATACTATTTTATTCATTTAATTTGCTTTTTTGTTGGTTGTAGGTATAGCGGCATTACTCGTGAAATGTTAGCGAGTATTGATACCCGAGTCGAGGATGTTCAAAAGGAACTGGGTCAACTCATTCCTGGTGACGCAATTCTTGTCGGTCACTCAATAATGAACGATCTAAAGGCTCTAAAAGTAGTTCGGCCACACATTGTGCAATGCCACTCTTAAACTTGTTTCCATTCAGATCTTTCATCCATATCTCATTGATACGAGTGTGATCTACAACATGTCACAGGTGCGGTCAGGCAAGCCACGGTTGAGGAATCTTACGCGCGCTTTTCTAGGGTAAGTCCTCCCGGATTACGATATAGCTAAAAGAGTTGAAGATTAATAAAATAGAATCCTGTTCCAGTTTGATGGCCGAGTCAGAATATGTCATTGCTTTGTTTATTGGATCTTCTTTTGTCGTCAGCGTCGTTTTTTCTGCTTTATGTCGCTTTGTGCGGTTGAGCTCAACCATCAGGCTAAGAATAAGCTTGAATTTGACAGTTCGTACGGTTACGTAATTTCACTGGCTTGCATTGACGTGACCTGTTTGCTCAGTTGTACTGAGCGTTGAATTGTGTCCCGTGGTGGGTATTATTTGTGTACTTTTCATTTTAAACACTGTAGCTGTAAAACAAACTAAGTCACTTTGATTGAGGCCTTTTCTTGAATCTTCGTCGCCTGACAAGTGTTTAAATTTTGGGGCCCTTCTACCATTTCCTTAAATCCCTTTTAACAATGCAAAATCTCTAAATTTTCGATTTTCAAGAGAAGATTATATTTAGTCTTTCTGACACCTCTAGCTTCAACCAGATATCGATTTTCTGCTGTTCATTGCATCAGAGTTGAACCCAGACCGGTTGGCGTGACTTAATTAAACATTCCCTTGTAAGGTCCTGCAGATTTTGTCAACGTTTAAGCGCTGCGTCTGATCGCTAAAATCAAAACTAGTGCTGCCACCAATGGGGAATGTGATTGTGGGAGGCAGTCTTGTTACAAGCGTAGCCGCAACTACAAAAGGGATTGGAAGGTCTTTCGATTTCCTTCGCTGTCCTATTACAGAATCTTACTTCACTAATCCTATGCCACCAGGCAAACTATTCAGAGTGGACACAAAGGACATTCTTCAGCTGAAGACGCAAAGGCCACCTTGGATCTTGTTCGCCTGAAACTCAGTCAATGTAAGGCTACATATTTGCTTAAAAATGTTACCGAATCTATCATTTTAAGGGTTTCTTTTGCACTCTTTCAAAACAAAGAGCTAGAAGTTAGTATACTCTAACGGCGTAGCATTTGAGAGACGCCTGTTATTATTTCCCAACTTCTTCCGCTTAGCTCTTGAATTTGGTGACGTCACAACACCTTGGCGCTTCCCGCAGGATTATCTCCAACCCTCAAACGAAAAGACCGTTGAAACGAAGGACGAAATACAGGTGGGAGAATGTCCGATCTTCAAGTTTTATTTTATTTCAACACCTAAAACTCCAAATAATTGCACTATAATGGTTATACTTCACGCTCTAGTTGAAGGAGGTGAGTTATTTCTGTATTTTCCCTTAATACTTTCCGTTTTTATCAATTTGGGACCTGTGGACTTAAATAGTCTTCTTTGGTATATGATTAAGTGGTACTGACTGGTGTTTGCTACCATTAAATTAGTTTTGATTCGTAAAGAGGTTACAGGTTAAAAGCAGTCGTCTGGTAAGGTTGTGGAGCAACGAAATGCCTTTTGCACACTTAAAATAATAATTAAACGGTAGCAGTATCTTTTCTTGAATGAACTTGATTGATTAAAATAAGCATTTTGGGACATGTGATTTCCTCTCTGCAATTCACTCTGATCCGACGGGTTGCTTTTATGCACCAATCGGGAGATCAATTTCAGTGGTTTCAGTTTGCAGGTATCAATGCGATTGCGTAGGAATGCGGAAGCTGGAAGAGGAGAATGAGGAGGGAATACAAATGAGCCAATGCTCACTAGTGTGAATCTTTGCCTGTCTAGATTTTTTCGTCCGTGAAAGTACGAGATCTTGCAATGTCTCGCAAGCGTTGAGTATCATTGCCACTGGTTGGCAAGTGCAGACTGCTTCTAATCTAAGGTAACATTTTTGACTGAGGGTAGCTGGCACGTGTTGTGGGAATGGGAGAGCGAAGCGTGTCTCTTTGGGAAAGTCAGAGGGGTGTGCTTCCCTGTAACGCTCATTGGAATGGTAGGGCTCAAATTTCATGCTTCATAAGAAGTCGACTTATTCGGGCATGAATAAGTGTAGCCTAAAGCGGTGGGATGAGATGAAGCAATGTGTTTCAAAGCTTGTAGCCATTTGTTGGTGCTTGTAGATGAGATTCTTTAACCTCTGTTGTCAATGAGTTTTCGTAAATGCTAGAGGTAGTGGCCATCGTTACTCTTGCCAAAAATGACTTTGAACAGTGCTTGGTTCGTTAAAGAGTGAAAAGGAGAGATTTGCGTTGATTTGTGATGCATCATGCAGAGGAGTGATAAATAGTCGGAATCTCTCAAATTATCCTTCAAATCGCTAGGAATTCCGTTCTACTACCGTATGTCGCGCCTTCTCGAACCGGTTCGGAGGGTTTAGCAGCTTCGGAAAAGCCTGAGTAGGTTGGGATCGTAAGGTGAGGAGGTAGGAATCGTACTCGTTGGGGTATTTCAGTCGAAGTCTGTCACTGGACGTGGTTGCAGTGAAAGGCCAACGTTGTAAAACAATAAGAATCACTGTTTGCAGTGCATGCATTTGTCAAGCCATGTAGAGAATGCTTTTAATTTTTGTATTCTTTTCTCGTCAGCCAATGAACTTGAGCCTGTCAGTTTAAATGACCCTTCTACACTTACTCGTCTAAGCTGGATTGAGGCTGTCTGGCTTTTAAGGAATTATTTGAGTCCTTTTACTATTATGATTATCCGGATGAAGTGGTTTAATTGTTTCCATAAGTGTCATGTCTGTTATTGTTCCCATTTCTTGCGTTGCATTAGGAACGGTGCATTGTTCTTCTGAGTCTTTAAAAATGATTGTTTAAGGCTATTTATCGTTTTGTCCGCCTCTTAATGGATCTAATTATGCTCTCTCAGGTGATTTTTGTCCCAGCTTGCGTAAGACGTGACTTTAGTGAGCATTAAAATCTTATCGCCTCATTTCCGTAACTTAGTGCTTCAGTATCAACTCTAATTTGCATATGCTTCGTAATTAATGGTCTACCAAAGCTCTACTCACTATACCTAATGTTCTCGGGTGACTATGTTCTTTCTCTAATGTTTCTACTTGCGCACAACTCGTTGCATCCAAAATTGGTGTCAACGATCCTTCCAACACTCATCCAGGGAAATCAATTCAGGCGTGTAATAGAGCCAAACATTGGAAGTTTTCTTGACCTCACCTTGGTTCAAGAATCACCCTTAAATTGGGCTTTGTGTGGCTACCTATGGTGGCAAAGTGTAAACGGTTGGGCCGCATTAGTAGCGTCATATCTGGCTCTGCCTTCTGGCCGTATCTCGCCTGACGTGTTAGAACGAGCGCACAAGTTGAGTACGAATGTCAGTAAGCTGATTTTTGGATGGTGGAGATCCTCCAAAGAGATGGACGGTTTTCTTTGAAATCCGAAATAATTTTAGGCACCAACTTCTCGTTTGTAAACATAGGCAGCTACTTTTAGTTTAGTGAAGCGCAGGATCACATTCATTCATTGTTGACACCATTTTTGGAGCCTAGAGTTTAGGTATTCTCACTTGAGGACGCTTCTCGCCGTTGTGTTTTATCGCAAATGGACTGTATAGATGTGTCATTTGAAACCACTTCCAATAGTTGACTACTCCCTGATTTTTCGTGAAGTCAGAAGCTCATTGCCATGAAGGTACATGGATTGAATCTTATTGACTTAACCACAGCAAATCGCCTCTTCACCTTCGGATGCTACCTCCAGCAATGCTGTTTTGTCGGGGCTGGACTGTTTGAGTAGCGTCCACCAAGGAAAACTTTTCCACGGGCAGTCACCTTAACTGCTAGTCAAGAATTACCTATCTTCCGACATTTAGATCATCCTTTGTTCTTACCGACATTCCTTCACTCTTTTTTAGCCTTCATCAAAGCCATCGGTTGCTAATTTGACCAAACTTCTGGCTAGGGGCGCATTAACAGTGCCGGAGACTTTGCGTCCCTACCTCGCCTTTCTCTGTCGCATCTACACTAATCCCACGCCGCCCTTCCACTTGACTGACCACCTCTTGGCCGATCTTAAGGTTAGCAGTTGTGTACATATGGAGAAGCCAGCGGTGATGGGGTTGGATGCGGAAGGTGAGGAGGGGAAGGAAGATGAGATGTGTACAATGCGTCCCTTCCTTAAACGTCCTGGGAAGAAGGCGACAAAGTGGATTGCAGAGAATTCTCAGAAAGTGAAATTTCTCATGACTCGAGTTGGCCGTCCGGAGAAATGGAACAAGATGGCAAGTTTGTGGGCTTATCTGGCCCATTTAACACCTCCCTTCTCTCTTCACTTCTTCGAAATTGGTATTGTTTCAAGTGTCGGTTCTTCATCCTATTTTTCGACTGACACCTAAGCTCTTCACATTGAGTGTAGTTCCACACTATTTACTGTTAAAGACGCACAAGTCTTGATTTCAGTCAACTTATCAACGTGTCGAAGTCCCGAGGAGTTCAGTCGGGGGCGAGCCCCGGGTTTCCACTTAGTCCCATGCTCAGTTGAACCGTTCTGTGTCATAATGAATTTTGTGGAGTTTAATGATATTCTTAAGTAAAAATTTAAAGGACGATTTACTGGACAAGTTCCTCGCTGAGTGCTTTTCTTGTGCGAATCGCTTTCCTTGAGACCGCTTTCCCGGGAGCGACGCGATACTGTTAATCTAAGTTTCCCATTGTATCGCCGTACGCAACGTTCGGGCGTTGCTGCCATCTGAAGTCAACATCTCTGGCTTACTTGTTCGTTAACCAGAACTTTGTAGGGTTTGTGTTTTTGTCGACAGTCGGCACAATTTGGATGAATCCCTTTGAATTCATTCACTCACGTCAAATGCATCCCTTGCATGGCATTCACTTGTAATTTCGGAAAGCGGATCTTGCGATTTCTTGAGTTGGGAGCGACTAAGTTTAGAATGCTCCTGAGAGCCAACAATCCTCTGAAGAATTCTCTTTTAGGATCCAATTGGAAGTCTGGTTCTAATGCTTCCATTCTGTACATGTGACCTTGCAACCGTGAATTGCTTTTTCCCAAGGATGAGGATAATGAACACTGAGAGGACTGAGAAATATGGCAGCATGGTGATTAAAAGCGAAGCTAGGGGTGGGGACAGGAGTACAAAACAGTGAGCAAGCTCGACTGTTTCTCTTTCCTTCATCAATGACATAAGTCTTCAAAGTACGGAAATCAAGTGTGATAGTGCGAAGATTTGGCTGGAGTCTTATTTGTACATCACCCGTAAAAAATTACCACTTCAAGGAACACCGACTCACATTATCCCAGTATTTGAGGATGAGGTTTGGGATTTACCCGACTAGGTGGCGTGCTGCTCCTCCTTTAATCGTCTACTTAGAGCCAAGTCTACTGCTGATGGCAGTTAGTGGGAGAGTGAGCCGTAAGTGTGACTAAATTGTGCCATTACGTAGTGAAAGGCTGTAAGTTTGCGGTTCACTTGACATGCCTTTCCAATCCCCTTATTTTTTCAGTTTCCCCCTACTGTAATGTTTGGTAATGCTGTCAGCAGTAATTTGGATGCCATCGCCGTGGAAATTGGATTGCAGAAGCTTGAAGAGTGCCACATAAGTCTGAGAGCTGTTTAACCCACAAGTCAAAACTTGGAAATGACAGCGGCTTCCCTTTCGCCTTGCAGAAAGAGACAGAGGCCTTCCAAAAATTCGCCACCAACATTTACATGCAACTGCGTCCGCATTCTCTTCTAATCATCATCTGTTCGGGGAAAAAGGACCCACACAGTGCAAATAACCCTCGAGGCATTGTGAAACCCCCGGCCAAGATCTCCCAAGCCTTCCTTACTCTTACCACTCCTGCCGCATTTACCGAGAAGTTTCAATCTCAACGACAATCATCGCCAGCTTCGCCTAGCGAGTAGTCAGGTCTTGTGTGTGTGGCACTGTAAATATAAAGTGGAAATCCTGGCAAAGAAGCCTAGCCTTTTTGCGTGTACCTCTCTGGGGATGACTTGTCTGAATGATCGGTTGCGTTATTTGAAGCTTTGATTGATCCTTTCAGTTACACGCAGAGCACTACTTACAGCGTTTTGTTTGATTTGATGTGTTTCGCACTAACCTTTAGTACACATATTCGTTCAAATTAAATCTTGACGAATGTGTGAATGTGGACTGGAAATCGCCTCGATCCTTTCGTCGCTATCTCATGTAGACCAGCCTCCGATGGTTTGCACAATTGAAGTACCTTGATGCTGAGGTGTTGAGCATCCTACTATCGTAGCTAATCGCACTAGAGGGCTTCTGTAAATGCAGGAAGCTTGGACTAAACTACGTGTCCACATTGTATGGGTTAGCCGGTTCATGACGCAATATTTGCGTGTAGAAGGACCTCGATGACATGAAAGTTGTCAGTAGAGATGTGCAAATTGCAGGTTTTGGTGTAAGTTAAGCACGTACCACAGCACCTAGAGGTCGTTATCCATATCGTTGTGGGGCATGAGGTGGTGAGCCTGCTCAAACAATCTACTTGGACTATGGTTCTTTTGAAGTTGTCCTTCCCTCTCACATTCGTAGGTAGAAGAGTCAGAAGAACTACTTTTCGACCCTGAAAGCATTTCCAATCTTCCCGACCACCTTCTCGTCTACGAATACCAAGCAGGAGGTCACGGATCGCTAGCTAAATGGGCGGACTACAAGAGTAGGTGTTTAAGACATTCAGCAGTTCAGTTTGAACTGGAACTTACAATCTAACAACTCCGCAGTGTGAGGGTGTTTTTCCGTTGCCTCTACACAAGGTATAAAAATTTAGATGAATTCTATCACTGACGTTTATATTCATCGGAGCGTTGTAAGGTGATAAACTCCTTATCAAAATCTCTCAACTACCGTAAATGGATAGCCAGGCTGTTTATGGAATGCCTGTCTCATCTTGCACGGTTGATCAAGCCGCTTTACAAAAGATGTTTCCTGTTATAACAGCGATAGATGCAATAAACTGCGCTTTCCAAAGTTCAAAAAGCTGATGCATCTCAAAAACAATGTTTATCTTTCGCTCTTGCTCTTTTCCACAGTGCTTCGACATCCCCAAGAATCAATCGTCTACAAGAGGCTACCGCCAGACAAGCGAGGTGTTCTAGAGGCCAATTTCTACTTCAAAGTCTTTAAGGTGGACGCTCCACCTGAAATTGCAAAATTGAGATCTATTGTGCCCGCATTTCACGGTCTCTTTCGAGATTCAAATGCTGGTCCGTGTTCTCTAAATGCTTTCCCTACTATTGTGTTGTTAAGTAGACGGTTTACTGAGCATTAATTCTTTTGTTCTTCAATGCAGGTCTCTACATTGGGTTGGAAGACGTTTTGGCCGGTTTAACGAATCCTAGTGTCTGCGACTTGAAGATGGGCCGCGTCGCCTGTCCACCCGATGCAAGTGAGGCTAAGATTAGAGCTGAAAACGCTAAATATGCCCATCGTGACACTGTGGGATTCCTCTTTACTGGCATGAAGGTAGACGCCTTTCAGTAGTATCTTCGTTGCCCTCCCTTCAAACAATGCCAAGTTGTAGGTTTATTTGTATAGCTAAGCACTAAGGTTCGATTTAGTCGCTTTCGACCTTATGTCCTTCATAGACACTTATGTTTTCGTCATATTTTAACATTGTTGCTTGTGCTATCATGCTCTATTATCCTTATTCAGCTTTGATTTCGCAACCGAAGTAGGCTTTAATACCGAATTCCGCAATTATTGCCTTGTATGGGGATGGACTGTAATGCTGCCTTTCCCTTTCTCAAGGTCTATGACCAGAAGTCGAGGCGTTATCTGACGGTTCCTCGGCACTATGGTCGCAGTTTGGACTCTGAATCAGTCTATTTCAACGGTAAGCATTTCATCATTTACTAGCAGAAACGAGGTTATGAAGTTTATCCTGCATTAAACTTCGCTTGCTTAGATCTGGAATGAAAATCAAATGTGTTGCATTCTGTAGGGAAACCTCCTTTGAACTGATTATGTAATATTGAGTCGGTGGGCGTAATGACCTTTGGGTTTTTCAGGCACATAAACCAATCATTCGCGATGGCGGGAAGAAGTAACAAAATACTTTTGGTGTGCAAACTTGAAGAAAACATCTCAGAACACTGTCACGCTTTTATGTCAAAAGTAAAAAAGTCGATCTTCGAAAAGCTGGCTTGGAGGCTCAATACCTTCCTACTACAGGACTGAGTTCAAGACGCGTTTGCTGGTTTTAGACAATCACATCTTTTCAAGGCCTTGTGTTTATACCCCGGTCTCCTAGATTCCGTAACATTACCAGCCGTAACCCGTAAATCAAAGCCTCATAGGGTAAATAATAAGTAGTTGCAAAAGAAGTAGGCAATGCAGTCTGGTCAAGTTATGCACTGCAATGACTTAGACAGTACATGCAATCGACAAATATGGTGATATGCTTTGACGACAAAGCATTACGTTGGCTGTAAATGTTATCCTAGTGGATCATATCTTGGGTGAATGATCCTCTTCTCCCATTGTAGCTCTGCTGCCATTTCTACAGGGCAACCTCCGCTTGGCACAAGCCTTCTTGCCTCGTCTGGAATCCGTGCGGTCGATATTTGAGGATGTACCACGTCCACCAATGGGGTTCTATCGTTCTTCTTTGATATTGGCCTATGATCAGTATCAGTCAAACGTGGTTGTTCGCTTGGTGGATTTTGCACATTGGAGACCAATTTCCGAGATTGATGATCCTTCCGGCATCATTCATGGACTAAATACTCTCATAAGTTTTTTGAGTCGCGCTGATGTTCTTCCTAGCGTCGGCTACTTTGCTCCATTCACTGTGATTCAGTAACAGGGTTCTATTCGGTTTTCCTTCTGGGCTTCGGGAGTGCTCGGCGCGACCCATACTCGGTGGTAGGATGGTTGGATGGTGTGCAAGGTCAGCTTCGGTCGAGGTGGGGCTTGGGTATTGGATGCTGAAACGGGTAGGGAGTAGGTGTTTGATCACAGTGTTTTGCTCATAGTTGGTAGCGAAATCACTAGAAAAATGCTTTTTTCCAATTATTGTGGTTTGTTTGGTCGTATATTCAATCCGCGTGTATGATTTAAAATGAGTATTTCATTGTACAGCTCAATACACACGAGGCCGTTACCTCAAGGTGAATTGTCTAGCTTCTGATTAGTGCATTCACGAAGTTCGTGTTCTGATTGGTCTGTATTAATTTTGGCGGCTAAACAAATTTAGCTTGGCTATGCTTACCCTTCGTGACGGTATCATTTGGATTTAGCACTCCCTTTGCATGTCGTTGATGATATGGGCGTTTGCTTTACTTTGCTTTGCACTTAGCAATTTGGTCTCAGCCAAGGAAACGATCGGGGGTTTGCCCATAAATACGGAATACCTGATTGTCAGGACCACTTTAAGGGCATTTGTAACAGCAAATGACACTGATTATGTTTCTAGTTACACCGATCCTGCTGATTCCTTCACTATTTCGATCCACTGTGATCCCAGGAGGCTTCGTGCTTTTGAAAACTTGGGCGATTATAACCTAACATGTAGTCTTTCACATTCCTCAGATAAGGATATTTCTCTCAATTTCACATCGGATTATCCGGTTTCTGTCAGGCTTGCCGATCAATTTATCCTCAACTTGTCTGCATCGACGATTCAAACCACTCAGTATGTTACTTTTCCTTTGGTGGTGTCACAAATCGGTGATGCATACATAATTGCTCGGGCCATTGTCCTCGGCAAATCTCATTTAGCACTGGGAGTGAGGATATTGGTTCTTCGAGAAAGCGGAATCGTTGATCTGATCTTTCGTATCGGTTTGATTATCCTTCTTATGTTGGCAACATTCTTCATGGGCTGCGAGGTTGATATTAATGTTATCAAGTCCTATGCGAAGAAACCGGTTGGACCGATTTTGGGATTTTGTTGTCAATTTATCATCATGCCTGGTGTACGTAACCCATATTGACGTTGATGTTTTCAAAGCTCTTATGCTCTCAAACTTTTTCTGGTGGTTGTCCGTTCCCTACAATTTATCCCCATCATCCTTTTTCCACTTATGGCTTAATAGATGGTTTTTTTCAAACATTGGAGAGGTTACATATTTCTTATTATCAATTATTCTATTTTCCTACCGTTGTGTGTTTAAAAACTGGGAACGGAGCAGCTATCTATTTCTTGTATGAGTAAGCTGCAAATTTTTTACTGCATCACTTTCGGTAGTTTAAAACTGGACTTGGCTTGTTTTCACTCCAAAATTTTGAATACATGGTCCCTCTATTTTCCCTCATTATATTTCCAGCGTTGAAAGGCAGCTGAGGATTGGTTGTATTTCGTTGAATTGCCGTTTTCAACACGGTTGAATTTTGTGTGACATATTCCTCATATTGCGTTTAAATTAGGGGATCTAGAAATTATGAGGTATCAAATCACTATAGTACAATAGATTTATGGCTGAATTTTTTCGACGCTTCGATAGGTTTTTAAATTTTAGTTCGCTAATAGTGTTTACTGATGCCTCCTTTCTTTTCAGGTGTCCATAGCACTGGCAAAGTTGACACCTATTAATCCCGCTTTTGGCTTCGGCCTCTTCATCAGTGGCTGCTGTCCTGGTGGTGGTGCCTCAAATGTTTGGACACGCCTCCTAGGTGGCGATCTCGACCTTAGCCTCACCATGACCCTCTTTAGTTCTCTAGCTGCTCTTGGTGAGTCGCTATGGCTGCCTGTTTACTTGTTTTACGTTGGGTTAAGCTCGTATGACACAATGTGAATCACGCCGCCACTACTTTTGGGCACAAACGAAAATTGAAAAATGGCATTTCACTGCTGCTATGTCTGCCTGCTTTTCATTGTTCCATCGCCTTCTCTACCAACTCTGTTATTTCTTAATTGGGTTTGAAATTAGCTATTTTTTACTCTTATTATTCCAACTGGAAGTTACCAGTTTACCTTTTTAATACTTTGTAACTTTTTGCACTGGAGGACTTAAGGCATTGAAAGTGCTTGAGTAATGAGCAGCTATATTATGCTAGTGTTTTTTGGCACTTTTCAGCTCAATAAGCTGCCAATCTCTCCCATAGGTAAACAAAAATTTGTTATAGCTGCCCTCATTGGAGTAACTTCGTCACCTCATAATCAATGAATCACATTTCGCTCTGCCATTCTATGCATTTATCAAAGGGAATGGATTTCAGTAATATTGTCATTGTACCGACGTAAATCGTTTCCACAAATTTTATTGAAAGCTGGGCTTGGAAGTCAGCAGTGGTTTTGAAGACTGCGGTGTGGCAAAGCGCATTCGCATAAATTGCTAAATAGGTCAGTGGGTTAACGTTGTGAGTAAGTTAAGGGAGTAGGAATGGGTGCATTCCAATGCTTAAGTGCTTCAAAACTCTAGTCCAAGTCTTTTATGCCTAAATTCTTGCTTTTACTAAGCATATTTGTCATATCAAACATCTCCAACACAGAAAAGGTGCCTCGATGCTCCGACGTCGCACCAACTCAACAAACGTGTAAACTCAGTGCATCCACATATTTGGCTACTTCGTTACATAAACTCACACAAAACGAACAAGCTCACTAGGTTAGTGTTGTGGCAAGAGAAGAGCAGAAAAGCCTCTTAAGCTCTCATATAGACCCTTCAGGACAGTCACTTGATCGTATCGCAGTCATAGCTGCCCTTTGTGGCTTCTGTGTGTTTAACCAATTATTGTTTAACGTTTACACACGAAATCGGTGGCGGCTTTGTGGGTGAACTCTGGTTAGGTCACTGATTCGGCGCCATCCTGACATTTTATGTTACAATTATCGACCGGCAATACTTTTCCAAGCGTGTGTTAATTACAAATAGTGGACCTGTGTGTAATGCAGTTGCTACGTCGCAATCATAGGTGACGTGGACGGTTTGGCCTGCGTGGGCGTATTGCGTGCTGCTGAAGCCAGGTGAATGCGCAATCCATTGGGTGGTCACTATGATGCCCCCTCAAACAAGTTAGTGTTTATTAAGGCTACTCATTTTGACTGCACAAAATGTCTGTGTTGTTGATTAAAAGTCAAACAGTGAGGGTTCTCTGCTCCTCTGTCAAGACTGCGCAATTCAGTTAGCAGTGCAGTATGTGCGCTTGCCTTGTAAACTTTTGCTTCAAAAAAAGGACAGGGCAGAGGTCATCCATTGATTGTTTATGCGCGAGGTGTTTAAAATGGGAGCTTCGAACTTAACATCGTAAGCAATGCTTTGGAGGTGGATTTTAAAGTTCTTTTCACCTTGTTTTTGAAGTAGTGTCCTTTTCGGTAGGGACGATATCGCCACCATAGTTGAATAAGTTCCTGTCTCGTGGTCCGAGCGGATGAAAAGGCAGCGAGAAGGCCTTATTGTGAGTTATACAACAGTATCCTCTGCTAGTAACTTTTTCCTCTACTTTCTACACCTAAACTTTTGAATTCAATCATGAATTAGCTCTCGTGGTCGAGATGTGCTGCACAAAGGGATCGCAAGAGGTGTCAGATGGCGGCTTATTTTTACTTCTGTTCTCATGTTTGTGGAAATTGAAAGTGTTTGAATTTTCTGAGGTGTCGTAATGGCCTAGTGTTACACAGTGGCGGTGGCTCCTACTTGGCGCTGCATTGTGTGTCTCTACGGCAATCCGGCGGTCAGGTAATAAAACAGGTGTGCGGGTAGACACGTAGGCGACAGATTGGACGATTAAATGCGTGGTTTATCATTCTCTCTAAAGCCTTCTCTTCTTATGTTTGTAGTGTTAGCTGTTTGTTGGTTTCCTGATATTGGTATGTCGAACAAATAAGCTGGATTGGCTGAGGTAATCATCATCACATGCAATGCGCACCTCTCAATACGACTGAGCCTAAGAAATCAACTTTAATGGACGGTTTAGCCTCGTAAAAACAGACTAGTCTTGTTCATTTTCAATTGGAGTCGTAGCAATTTTGTTTTACGACTGCTAACTTCTAATAATCTTGCTTTTGAATCCAAAGGCCAAGCAAAAGGGATGCTTGTCGTTTGGAGGAATGTGAGTCCAAAAGATGTGGAAGTGGAGGAGGCCTCAGGGTCTCTCTTACACGCCTACTAAAGTGTAAATGCTGTCTTAAAAAATAGGTCATTGATACATCTGGTCAGTGAGTGAAACTATTGGCTTTAACATGAATGTGATAATTGCTTGAAAGGTCAGTGAGATTGCGGCTGGCTATTGTGAGTGACCCCAGTATCTTTATCGATGGACTTCAGTTTTCTTCCCATTATGAGTAGAAAATCGTCTTACCACCTCGGCGCTCAATTGCTTCGCTTTTTACAAATACTTTATAACTCAATTCTTGCTGCCTCGGAACAGACTGTAAGTCTGTTTGTATGGCAAGGAAGCAGGAGTCACATTTGCCCTATAAAACGGTTGTTAACAATCGCATTTTGCATGTCTAGTATTTATGTCAGGTCGTTGGAGAGCGGAGCTTGCCTCTGGTGAGTGTCGTCTTGTCAAAAGGACCACTTAATCTAGCCTTCAGACTCACTCCCTCATATTGGATGGGTCTCGGTTTTAATAAGCCCGATGCCATTTAGAAATGAGTGAGCTCTCCTTGCAATCCAACGACAACAAAATGGGTTTATGCCACTTTATCACGTCTTAATGCAATCGGAAACGTCGCAAGTGCTTTACATCACTTTGTAACCCTCATTAACTTTGCTTCATTGTTGTGGCCACGTAAGCATTGTAAAGCCGTCCATTGTCTGACCGCATCTCCTCCCACTTCTTCCCTATCGGCTATCCGCTCACCAGTTTTCCTCCCGAAAACTGCATTTGAAGAGCTAACCTCTCTTCTTCAACCTCTCTCTTTGTTGCAGCCGTCTTGCCTCTTCTCCTGCTCGCCTTCGCTCGTTTTTTTACTGCTATTGATGTCAGTGCAGTGCCCTACGGCCCAATTGTTGCAAACCTCCTCTATCTATTCGTTCCTGTCACGGCTGGTCTTCTCATACGTCACTTTCGCCCTAACTGGGCAGATCGGCTGCGTCGAGGTGTGCAGCCAACGTCTTGCATCTTCCTCACTTACGTGATTGGATTTGGCACTTTTGCCAACTTTTCCATCTTCCGTCTCATGGGTCGTTATCCTCTCATCATTGTCGTCGGTGCTGCTCTCCCCATCATTGGATATGTAGCCGGTTTCCTGCTGGCCCTCCTCTTTCGTCGTCCCTGGCCTGCTGTCGTGGCAATCTCAATTGAAACGGGTGTGCAGAATGTGGGAGTGGGTATTCTTATCCTCATCTCTGCTATTCCTCAGCCTCAGGGAGATTTGGGGGCTGTTATGCCTATAATCATCGCTATCACAACTCCTCTCGGTCTCCTTGTCGCTCTCATTGTGCGACTCATTGTGCGTAGGCGAAAGCGGAGAAGAAAGCACGACGAGGAGGAATTGGAGGATGGAAGTTGGGACAGTCATTGTAGTTTAGACACAGCAGTCGAAAACCGAACAAGAACTGCTCTTGAAACACGAAGCTCAGATGAGGAGAAGGCGAAGCTTTGAACATCAACGTTTCTTCCGTGTTCTCTCTTTGCTACGGTGTAAATCGTGGTTGTTCCCTTTTGTAATCATTGGCTAAGTCTGAGTTGTCTCGAGCAACATGAATCTCTCTCTTAACTCCTCGTACCAAGTCCTTTATTTGCTAATAAAACTACTTTGTCACTGTGCTGTTCAACATTCTGTTGCATGTTCAAGTAGAGTGGCTCAGGTTTTTTTATAAAGTGGCTGCCAGTTTTCTGAAGGCATCTGCAACATGGTCTTCTTCAATTTGAATGTTTGTGTTGTCCAGGCCCCTCTGTTAATTGTGGTGACTTGCTGACCTGGTGAAATAGTGTCAGTACAATTGACTGGTCGCCATGGTAGTGCGACTGGACTCGGTCTTCACTAGTTGGGCTACCATTCTCCTCGTATAGTGGGGTGTAAGTGCACATTTGTGTTTGAAATGCTTCGATGTGGTCCAGCCTAGAGTCTAAAATCATGGACTTATTTGTAACCTTGATGGATGTCATGACTCACTCGAATAGCTTGTTTATAATGCACTGTCCGTCTACTCTTGGAATTATGTCGGACTGGTTCGTCAGTGTTGGTGGTAAACATCGACCTCGCTCAACCGAAGGCAGAAATACTTACTTTCACAACCCATGGCTGTTCTACTTGTACTTTGTTTTTCCTTTGACGCCAGACTTCCACGAGTGAGCCTCACCATCTGTGGCATGGATGCGCTATCCTTCCAAAACCTTCTGCATAAAGCATTTGTCTGTGCGTAACTCAAGTGTTGGTCTCTCAAGGGTGTCTTCACTGAAAAAAATGAAATGGCAGCCCCGGCAAGGTGTACCTCAGCTTCCATCTAAACATTTCTCAATTCTATAATAGAACCTTTCAATTCAGTAGTATCGTAATGCTCCAGTGAAAGCACTACATTGCCAATGAGTGAGTCTATCAGCTTCGCTTCTGCTCCAATCCTCTCCGTACGCAAATGTGATACTTTACTCATTTCTTCACTTTTTGTCCATTGTGATGGGGTTATTGAGATAACTTTTCTCCAAGTCACGTAAAACATTTCCCTCGCAGTGCAACAAGTCAGCGTTGAGAACTTAGTGGATCTGCTACACTCATCGCTTGCTGGTTTGTTCTAATCCCGAGGTTTTAGCCTTTGCGCTCATCATTTTAACCCATAGCAAAAGCATTTGATACGTGGTTTGGTGCAGTCCCTTCAAATGAAAGTTAAATAACTGCTGGAAGCCTCTTCGAGAACATTTTATTAACTGAAATCCTCGCATAGCCACAGGCTAAATGTTGATTCCATCTTTATGACACGATTTACTTCAAGTAACCAACGCCAGAGGTATCCGCCTTTGTGACAATACAATTGTGAAATGTTCGTGGTTGAAGGTGATGGTGGGCTTGGAACACTATCATTTCCACCGGTTGACCGGTATTGCCATAATTCCGCATGCAGATGAGGTCACGTGTGTCAGAGAAGTAGGAGCGGAGAGTGTTTGTTTTTTCACCCATAACGAACACTAGATTTCAGGATCACAACAGTCATGCTCCATAAAAAGGGCACTTAGTCAGTTTGTTCGTGGACGAGAAAGTGAAAACACAGGTATTTTTTTGTAAAGCAGACATTTGGGTTGGTGTAGATGTAAAAGCTGACCCCATTGTTATTATTATCATCATCATCGCGATTTGTGGAAAGTGGGTGAACGAAATGAATGCCTTTCTTCTACATACAGCAATACTTTGGTTTACCAACGTACATCTTAATCAAAATTAAGGATCAAGCAAATAACACCTCCCCTCTTGAGCGTCATCCGCTGCACTCTGCCTGGTCAACCTCTCACTTTGATCGCCTCAAAAGAGTCGGTGGTGTCTGACCTGTAAAGCACCTGGATTTGGAGACAGGGGTGTTCCGGCGGTTTCACGTGCTGAATGCCAGTCGCAGTCACACCAACTTACAGACAGCCAAATAACGGGGAATGCGCGTCAAAGGATTTCAGTGGAAGTAGTCTTGTTCCCATTTTTCTCCCATTTCCACCTTTGATTACTTCAGTGCCGCCCAGACCTATCCGTCTCAACAAATTTTGGTTAGCAGAGCAGTAAAGAAGGTATTTTCGCGTCTACTAAACGAGATTTCCACGCGGGTACGGTAGACGGGTTCGTAGTGAACTTTATCCAAAGCAATCAACAAGCGGTTTGACACCTTTGATGAAACAGTCGAATTGGCCTCGTAAAGCAAACACGACGGGGTCCCAGTCATCATGTGAGTGGCTGAGGTGAGGTGCGATGATGTAAAACACTGTAAGGAGAGTGCTGAGGAAAGACTGTCGTGTGTCACGGCTTTAGAGGGCACAAGACAGCCGCATTTGTGTCGGGTGTTCTTACAGCAAGAGACTTCAGAAGAGCCAGCTCTATTGTGTTGTTCAATGTGTGCTCCAATTTAAGGAAACGAACTATGAAAATCACGCTACTTAAATTCGCAAATTATGATTGCTTTTTTCCTTACCCCTAACGATACTACTTAATCGTTCATTTGGATTAAAGTAGGCTAAGATGAAATTCTGCGCCTTCATCTTTAAAACTGAGTTGTTATTAATCGCATTGATTCTTTAGCACTGCTATGACGCCTAACTCAAATTTTTATTTGACTGTTATTTAACTCTCGTCCAAAAGGCATCCATATTTTTGGACTCTACAGCACCTCAGAATGAAGCAAGGCGACTTGGCTTCGCTGCTCTCCTTCTGTTTTTGAGGTAATGCCACACTTCAGTATTCGAGGATGGGAGTTGAATATCCGGCAAGCCGCACAAATTGCCGCTTTCTCATATCCATGGCCACCTCTACAATGAGCCGTGCACAAGGCATGAGGAAAGGGAGGCATTACTACTACTGCCACACTACAAGGAGCCACCATGTGGTGGATTTTAGGTGTGCTGGGATGGAGGCACAGCAGTTGTCTCAGACCATAGTTTTAACACTAAGATCTGAGTCTCTTAGCAACAACTGTCTCGAGTTTTGGAAATGGAAATTTTTTTAATGTGATGTGAAAAACAATGTAAACCATCACTCAAAGGCGTTGTACACCTTGACATAATAATTTTTACTTGAAAGATGCCAATTTCTTTTGAACATCGGCTCACCTGATCTCAAGCAGGTACACACTTAGACCCTTAATGTCCCTTTTCCTTGTTATTAGACCGACGTCGAGTGATCAGGAGACTTCAAGCCCTTCTCTGAGTCAAAATGCACAATCTGCCAAGGCAGTATGGCTTCATTCAGTCACGGGAAAGTTTGCTAAAAACGCTTAGTAGCTTTGCTTGCTTCTCAATTTCAGTTTTTAATAGCTACCATGGGCATATGGCCCTTGCGGTAGGTCAGCAGCCCCGATTCTGTACGTATGTAGCCTCCTTTAAGTGCTATGCTTTCAACTGTCTTCGAAAATCTTTCTAGACGCTTCAAATTCGTTGACGTCAAGTTACAGAAGGGCTGAAAATGATGCCCCGTTATTTAGAAAAGTTGTTAATGATGAAAAGCATAAAAGTTTTGTTTCAAATTGTCTTCCTTAATTTTCTATCAGAAAAATAGAAGCCAGGAAGGGTTGGTTTGAGTGGTCCTGTGTAAAACACCCTGACAAGAAGGGACAGCCGCAAAACACCCAACCCAAAGGAAATCCATTAAAGTCATTTCCTCGTGCATAATGATGCTTTTAGATTGGCATTCCAAAGTCCAGCCATAGACATACACGATGTTCGGCAGTATAGCCTTTTCCTCCACCCATTTCCCAGATCGAAGGCATTTTTAAATCTGGGAGGATCAATAAGAGGGCTAAATAGCATTGCCATCAAATGCACTTTTAGTTCCATAGGTAAATGTCGAGTTATTCGGTCGACTTTGGCGTGTGTTCTTCAACCGCTAGTTATGATCCATTGGCTGATGTAGTGTTGATTATGAGGAGCGCCAGGAAGAACGTTCAAACGAGGGAGTTCAGTAATAAAATGCGTTATTTGTTTGTTTCTCAGTTTAGCTACTGTCACTTAGATGACTATAAATGCCTTCTCCGAGTGGTACGTCAACTGAGCTATGCTATACGCTACATTTCATTTACTCCTGCAGAACATGCACATGTACGTAACATGGTAAAGTAAGATGCCTGTTTATCCCCTCAAAGAAGACTCAGAGTGCAGTAATTTGATTGATTATAGAATTACACACTTGACTACTCGAAAAATAAGTTGCCGGCATAAAGCGGCATAGTCTTCCAACTGAGCTGCTTACTCCTCAATTCCATTTAGCATTAATTACATGCCTTCATCGACTCGAATGTAAAGTCGTAAGAAAAGATCGATGAAGAAAATGATTAGGAATTCACGTGTTCATTTTGTCATAGGAACAGTTGAGTAAGATAGTATTTTGTTGCATAGTAAAGGGAGCATAATTGGGCTAAGGTTCCGAAGCAGTCCGTCGATTATCATTAGGAGAATTATTCATCCATTACACTTCCCTTGAGGGGTGAGCGTACTAAAGTTTCTCGATCATTATGTGGGCCTAAAAAAGGAGGTCTGCATTCATTGAGATTTCAATACTAGATTGGCTCCATCTAATCTGTAGACAGTAAAATTAGATGATTAAGGTTAGCTAAACGAACATTTAGGAGCGCATAGTTAAAAATCATATTGAATCTCTGTTCTTCTCAGACGTAATCATCAAGTACCGATAATATTGAGCGAAACTGGGGTTATCAAAGAACTTTATTGGATAAAGTTCGGTGAAAATGACGTCAAACGCAGCCGTATCAAAAGTTGAACAAAGCCATTGCTTGCATACTGTTTAATTTTAATATTGTTTTGCTCAAGTATTGCATAAATGGTGACATGCTCATAATCAGATTAAATAACCCACTGAAAATATAAAATGTAAGTACACTTATAATTTTAAAGAATTTAGCAATTAATTCGCGCACGAATCATTTGATTTATTGCCCATTTTTCACGTAGCTTTTGCATTTTTAGGTCGTGAGAGCAGTTACTTTATTACTTCTCGATTATTCACTCTGAGATTTGTTTTACTGCACAACTGGGTTTTTCAAAGCAAGAATATCCCATCCATTCTTCCAGCTCTATCAATTGCTTGTGACCTTGACAAACATCATTTCTTGAGTAAAATCAGAAATAATGGGTGATTCAGTTGATCACCCTGGAGGCATAAGCGGGTCTCGAGAAGTCAGTCATTGTCAAGGACCCAAGAAACGTCAAAAATTAACATTCATTAAACCTTCAGAATGGGCTGATTTGCAGCCTGGAGGCTGCGTTTCGACAAAGAAAGACGCTGATCGGAACTTGTGTCAGAGACTAATTGATAGACAGTCTAAAGCTAAGCAAGAAGGAAGTAAGTTAATGGATTTTTATTCTCTATTTTTCCCATTTTTTGCCTTTACGAAATTTATGTTGGTGCTAATCCAATTTCTTTTAATATTCTTGTTGTAGTCACCCGTGAAAGGGTGGAACTTGAAGAATCTAAGCCAAGAAGACGACAAAAGCAGCAAAAATCCAGAAGAGGTCGGCCTCGGAAGCGGCCTATTGATCCCAAACGGCCATGGATTGAAAGTGACGATGAGGAAGGCGACTATATTTTACCTGTCGATGACGAATCCGACGATGATGCTTTTCTTCAGCGTCTAGCAGAAGAAAAAGAGAGGGAGGAGGCTGAGGAGATCAAGAGGAAGCAGGAGGTGCATTTCAGAAGGGTTTTTTGTTCACCATTTTATAGAAAGTCCAGAGATAATTATCGACTTATTATTTGTGTTTTAGCTTCAACGTCAACGGCGTTTGAAACGTGAGGAGCGTAGGTCAAGGGCTACTGGGAGGCCTGGGCGACCTCGCACTCACATTCCATTTGCTCATTTGTACGCGAATTCCAATGATGATGCACAGGTAGGTAATTAGTTTCGCTGACACTGTTGTATTTTTAGTCTTCCAAACCCAGCGAAACGAGTGAAGGGGAACAGTCGCCCTTGAACGAATATCCCATAGAAGAAGAAATTCCTGATTTTCCACCGCCTCCTACCGTGGAAAATGACAATTATGAAGAGGGCGGAAATGGTGTTGGTGCCGGTTTAGAATCCACAGCAGGAGCTGATTTTCCCCGTCTTAGTCCTATCGTTCTTCGTCGTCGAGCACCACCACTAAGACTTCCACCCTCCTCTCAGGACTTAATATGTCCTGCCGAGCACCTCCTAGACGCCCTATCCATCTATCAGGCCCTTCGACGATACGGCCGCCTGTTGCGACTCTCCCCCTTTCAGCTGGAAGACTTTTTGTCCGCTCTAATGGCGAACGAAAACTCGAATCTTTTTGCAGCAATTCACATAGCTCTTTTAAATGCACTCATTACCGAGGATGAAGCAAATGGAACACATCTTTGTCCTCCAGATTGTAAAGACGGAGTCTCTCTTCTAAGCTTCGTTATTGATCGATATACTTGGCCGTACTTTCTTTCCCTCTACCTCAGCAGTGTGAAGCGTGGGGAGTCTGCGGCTCTGGCAGCTCTCGCTCGCGTTGGTAACGCTGCAACCGTAGCCTCATCGGGTCCAACAGCAGCAGTTGCATTTAGTGGCGGAGCTGATGCCGTTGTTACGTCTTCTCTCTTCTATCCAGAGGATGGTGTCATACCATTAGATTGTTCATACCCTTTCGTTGGTCTCCCTCAGCGTTTAGCTGTACTTCGGGGCCTTATCGGGCTATTTCTCGCTACCGGACCTGTTCGTGCCGATATACTTCGTGAGGGTTTTATCTCACATGACGATTTTTGCCGTATTTGTCGACAAAGTGGTGAGGTGCTCTGTTGCGACACCTGCCCCGCTGTCTTTCACCTCACATGCCTCACACCACCTCTTGAGGCCGTGCCTAACTCCTCATGGCATTGTCCGCTCTGTGAAGCCGAGCAGGAGGCGTATGGGGAAAGAAAGATCCCAAAAACACGTGGGGAGATTCAGATAGCTCCTCTGGGTTATGACAGAGCGGGTCGGATTTATTGGTACATGGAAGGCCGATTGTTTGTGTAAGTTGTTTGCACTTTTTTAATACTTGAGATGATACATAAGGTACTCATATAGAAACTACTCTTTCTTTTGTTCCAGAGAGCCGGTAGATTTCGCTCAGTGTGAGCCAGAGCTACCGGGTTTGTCAGAGGGTGTGCGTGACGAAGAATGGGAGAGGCGTGAGGCGGAACAGCCCACAGGCGACGATGAAGAATGGGAGGTGGGGGAGGATGGGGAGAAGGTCGAGTGTGGCGTGGAAGGCGCCTGTGATCCTTCTGTCGATTACGCCAACGAACCTCCCGTATACTATTACTCTTCATTGGAAAACATCATCTCTGTTCGTCAGAGCCTTTCAACTCAGTGGGAACCCGCTCTTTGCGTTCAACTTGACACCGTAGTTACGCTACTGGAAGTGAAAGAGCAGAAATTTAAACAAGCTGCCGTTAAATCCGAACCGAAAGACTGTAAGCTGTTCATTTGGTTTGAGTAATTATTAAGGTGGTCGGTGATTGGTCGATTTTTGTCTTCTAGCAGGTGAATCAGCGAAACAGGAAAATGACTCCAGCGAAAAGGCAACAGGAGTGACTGAAAGATCAGTCAATGTTAAGAAAGAAGAGGAAAGTGGAGAGGTCTCGAAGTTGACAAAGTGGCCTCCAGTGCTGCCTCTTCCTCCGGCATTGACAGCCGCCCAGTTGACTGCTCTTTTCTCCAACTCACAGTCGTCGCATCGCAACGGCAGTGGTAGCGAAACAACCTCGTCTCCCATGGAAAATGCATTTGTGCTGGAGCTCTCTGGTGGTGTTCTAGTGCACAATCAGGATGGTCTCTTTGAAAATTTCCCTCTGCCACCCGACGTACACATTCAACGACTTTCAGTGAGTCCTGCTCGTTACGAAACAACTTTTATCATAATGCGAAGATGAATATTTACTTTACTCGGTATCCACTAAAAGGAATTATTTGCAAGCGTAAATGGAGCATTTTAATTCACCGCCTCTATCTGTGTAAAGTACTTCATCTCTGTTTTGTCTGCGATACTTGATGCATGCACTGAAAATTCGATTATGAGGCTTGCAATCATTTTGACAATGCCATTGTTTCTCAATATTATTCGCATGTGGATGCACTAGTTGGCAAATTCCATTTTTTTACATTAGATTTTCCTAGATTGCAAATAAAATTATTGATATTCATTCCATGACTGAAACTACCGTCTTCATCTTCAACCTTACAGGAGTCACGACCTGCGTTAGTAGACTCGTCCTTGTCCAGTTCTACTCATTCGGCACCTTCAAACCGTTGGCGAAGCTGGACAAACACTCTCTCCCAGGGTGTCTTTGTGCCTAACCCCACTGCAGAGACATCCGATTTGGCGGAGGTGAACATTGCTCTCAGCCGTCCTCAACAACATGATGAACGGGAGAAGAGGCGTCTTCTGGCCAACAAATTTTGTTTTTCTGAGGCAGCTCTTGAAGCCTGGCGGTGGTTGGATGCTGAGGCTAGTGCGGAGATGATTCGGCGTTCCATTGGCGAAGAATCATTCAACAGTACAGTCGAGGCGGACCTGGCGAACAGAAGGGCCGATGCTGTTGGGCCTCTGCGATGGTTACACACCATGAAACTCACTCTATGCTTTATGGAAGCGCAGGTGAGCGATGTGGTGCGAATTGAATTGTTCGTCCGACCGTGTTTTTATTACGCTTTTATTTCGATAGCTTCCAGCCGCGGCTCTCTGCCCATTGTGGCGTCTACTTCGCAAGGATTGGATTGCATCGGTTCTTAAAGCCACTTCTGTTCATGAACTCGCAGACCTCTTGGCTCGTCTGGAAGCTGCTATTCGTCCTATTGCCTTTCAGCGAACATGGACTTCCTCGATCGGTAAATGAATCCTGTATAAAATGAACAAAAATGGTATGTAAAGGTGGCGATGATCAACGGTTTTGCTTAATATCATAGGTCCTCTTCAATTGGATCGCTTTACGTCTGCTCAACGTGAGGAGGAGAAGCGAATACGTGCCTTGGAACGCTCCTCCATGGCGTTCAATGCACTGCCAACAACGCTGGTGCGAACCAAAACTATTCAACCAATTAGGCATACTGTATGGAAGACACGGGGAGAGGAATACCGACGTCTGGGAGGTGATGGGTGGCAGTGGGTTAGCGCCACGCGTCGCCAACAAAAATACTTAAAGCCAGCTACTTTACAGTCGGTCAAATCAACCATCGACAGACCGGCCCATCTGGGACTAGGCTGGGGTGTTAAACCTGAGCTCCTTTTTAAAACCGTACGCTGATTTCTGATGCGTTATTTTTATGCTTACTATTCGTGCCATTGTGGGTTGAGCATGTAAATGCACATTAGCTACTTAATTTGGAGAAGGTTGATTCTGGTGAATTTCTTCTGGTAGGATCTGTACCCTCAGCCACCCGAAGAAACTGCTCTTGATTATAGAGCGCATCCGATCACCGGGGTGCCACTTTGTCAAAACGTTCCACGCAGGGTCTACACTGTGCCTCCTGAAGCTCTCCAAAATCAGCCAGGCGGTGTGATTAACATCTCAGAGGTATGTGATGGTACTTTTATTTTTTCAGCATGCCAGGAGAATCACTGATCAGTGGTTGTATCTGTTATAGTGCCTCAGATCTGGTGGCGGAGACTTCTTTCCTCCACCTGCAAGATCACCTCCTCTCCCCTATTCGCCAGCAAGCAAGGTTCGTCGGCGTGGAAGGGCGCATTTTCGATTGGACAGCCTTTTAGCTATGAGGGAAGCCGCGGCGTCAAGTGATAAGGTTGCTAGCGAGGCAGCTCGCGGTGATCTGGACCAGTTAAGATTAGAACGTGAAACCGTGGCTGCTAGAGTGGCCGATATTCAATCCTGCTTGAGTAAATTGTCTAGTGAGGCACAAATCGCTCGCACAGAACACGCTAGAGCCGTGAAATCACGTCAAACAGCGATAGTGGAGATGAAACATCTTAGTGAACAACGGCTGAACCAGTCTTGCTATCAAGGAGCAGTACCCCCAGCTCCTTCTCAACGTGATGGGGGTAGTGGAGGCGGAGCATCTGCCAAATCACGGGCTTCAGTGACACCTGGACGCAACCGATCCGCAGCATCTCGACGTCTCAGACGAGAGGAGTACAATTACGATTCGGGTGCAAGTGCCGAGTCCGACGAATCCGCAGCAACATCATCCTCACGACCTGCCAGTAGCAATACAGAGTGAATTTTCTTCTAAAATAATCATAATTAACTAATTCGTCGTCATACTTTACTCTGTTTCTCTTATAGATCGAATGTTCTTCGTCGAAGCTCCCGGCGCCAGAAAACAAAGAGCGTGGATCCCGACTTTGTTGTGGATTTTGGTGAAGATGAAGAAGAGGAGGATGGTCGTGTTGATATCGACCGCGATGACGAGGACTTCAGTCTTCGTCAGCGCGGTTCCGATGAAGAGGCCACGGACACTGCATCTTGGGCTCGGGGTGGTCGTAGTGTGCCCCAATTCGATGGTGCTGACGATGAGGAAGATGACGAGGACGATGATGATGATGCGAGCATGACAGAAGAGGATGGGGAGGATTACGGTGTGGACGAGAACAGCAATGAAAATGATCCAGACGGCCAATTGGATGGGCTAACTCAGAAGCCTCCTCCTAGGGTTCGTTCGCTGATCTCTTTGACTGATAAAGGTAGAATAATGTTACTCTGGCCCTAAAAGGCTCTCCTTTATTGGCAGGCTACTACTACGGAAGCAGCGTCCACTGCTGCATCGGGGAAGGGCGCAGCAGTACCTTCTTCTCCTTCACTGGGGAAGAGCTTGCTCGCTCTTGCTATTGAAGGGAAGGCACCTGGCATTGTGCAAATAAAGCAGTCGGTAAATTAGCGTTCGTTTGTTTTTAAGGTTTATTTCTGTCTCTGCACTACTGCCGTCTCTTCGCAGACGTCAAATGGTGAGTCTTCCGGGGAGACAAAGACCGTCGGTAGTGGAGGCGGGGTGACGGTATTGCCGACTCCTGTCTCTGCTACTCCTGGTGGGCAACCTGTGCGTCTTGTGAGAGTGTTACGGGCACCACCGGGAGCTCCTGCGGGCACCCAAATCATTCAGGCAGTCGATCCACCCGCAACATCAACAAATGGTGGGTCGTGTTACTTATATTCTTTTAAGTAGCAACAACCGAATCCAGTTTCTGCGGTATCAGTTGTCTATGTGTAGCAACTTATTCGAACTTTGATTTTGTATACGAATAGGTAGAAAGGTGCGTGTGCTCAGAAACCAGGATGGGTGGATATTGGGTCAGTGGTTATTATCAACTAGTGTAGCAAGATGAGGTACATTCGAATCTGCTTGCAGACCACTTTAAGGTGGCCTGAAAATGTTAAGAAATTAGTGTTCGGATTTGTCTATAGCACCATTTTATTGAATAGTATTTGCCAACTTCGAGTATTTTAACTTCAACTTTTTACGAACTTGACACTCGAATCTCGAAACTTTCTATTTGGGTTCTTGTGTTAGTTGAACTGAACTGGGCATAGATTGGGTGCATACGTAGGCTTCTACCTTCCTCTTTCATCATTTTTCATTTATGTTTTTAAGGGCGCATGCTTTGTTTTCCTAGAGATCTTTACATGAGGCGCATTTTCTGCTATTAAAGTGAATCCTTGGGCATTGTCTATATGAAACTCAACTTTGGACATTAAAATTTCTCGACTTATGCATGTATAAAAGTAGTCGTTAATCTATTCCTTGCCACCAAGGTTTAAGCAGTGCAACAAAGTGGATCCAGGACATAGAGTGATATAAATAGCCTATTTTGAACTCTTTGTGGAGCATATATTGTTTTGTATTCTGAATCGTTCTGGAAATTCCTTTTTTATTTCGTTGGTGCATTTCAGCTTCTAATACTGGTAATCTAATAATTCCTGCCTCTACGGAACCCGCTCTACAAAAATCCCTTATTCAAGTGAGTTTTAGCCTTCCATTTGACCTTGCAATATCGTGAACAGAGCTCCATTGGTAATTTCTTCAAATTACAGCTCTCCTCAAGCGGTGGTGTCATTGTGACACAGGCTTCAACTCTCCCCGCAGGCTACAGATTAATCACGCCCTCAAGTCTACCCCTAACTTCTACAAACACTGCGGCCTCCATAACTCCTGGGAGTGGGGCTTCTGTGGTGACGTCGACCTCTCGAACGCCGCTTAACTTCGTTCAGGTGGTGTCTACCGCTCCATCGTCTTCATCCATACAGGGATTGAGGCCGCGACCTCTAGTACCACAGCCCCTTCGAGCTGGACAGCCCATCACCGTCAGTGCCACTGGTACCCCCTCCCTCATATCAATAGCGCCGTCTCCAGTGGTTCGGCCACCTCCCCTTAGACCCCTCTTGGCACCTGCGAGTAGGCCCGTGAGTTGCATCATCAGTAAATCAAGTTTCTGTTCTTCTTTTATCATAGGAGAGGAAGGAAGAGATTGGCGCATTCTCACCGCCAAGTTTCTTCGTTGGCTTTGCGATTTCTAGTTTTGTTAAATCTTATGCATTTTCTCACATTCAATGCTACATTATCACCTTTAAGTTGTGTCCGCAGGTTGGGGATTTTTTAACTCACCCTGATCAGTTATTCACAAGCTCTTCTATGCTTCCCATGGTTCCTTAGTAATGGGTTCAATGATGTTACCAAGGTTATTTTTAGAATGGGGTTTCCCACATAGTGAGTTGAAACATCGAAAGTCTTTGTTACCATTTTCAACACGATCACTTGCTACATTCTGTTTTGTACACCCTACACGGACCTTTGCTCTTCGTTTGGGAATTGGTTTATTCCATCTAGTCGTTTTACAACCACTCTTTTATCCGGCCTGTCTGTCCGACGATGCTATTCAGGTTGGGCCCATAATTCAAGCAGCACAATTTTTTGGAAAGGTGCTTAATGCTAGCCTTGCGTACTTAAGGCATTGGATCGGTATAAAGTAATGTGGGTACCTGTGTCCTACACTACTGTTGTTCTAATGTGTTTCGTTTAACTAGTTTCGGACCAGTTGAAGGAATTTTTTTGCTCTTTTCTAGGGGAGCAAAGTTGCGAAGAAAAGTAGTTCTAATCTATTCCCTCATTTGTTGGCGATTTCGTTGAAATGTATCCCTTTGTTCCCATTAGGCCATATGGACCGCCGGCTAGGTTGCATTAGCAGGTAATGTGGTCCCAGTATTTGAACCTCTACCCAATAAGGTATCGCGAAACCTTTGACAGACACTTATCCAGATTCTGCATAGTTTGTACGTTTGTTTCCTATGTGAACATCATTGCGGTATTCACCTCTAGGTTCTGTTTGAATTGGGGTAAACTTTGACGCCAGACTAACATCGTTCTTGTGTTTTCAGATTCTCGCTAGCTCGCCCGCCTTGGCACCGTCACTACGTCCACGAATGGTACGAGTCATAACACAACCAATGCAACTGGATCCGAGTCTCGACCAAGCTGTCACCGAAGCTGCCTCCAAATTGCACAAAGTCGACCTAGAAATCTTTAATTTGCGCAAAGAGGTTAGTTTTACTCAGCCCTGTTGATAGGGGGGTCGTCAGGCTTCTCACAACTGATTGTTTTTCCTTCAGTTGAGACATCTAGAATCGCAGCTGGCAGAACTGAACGCTCGTGTCGAAGAGAAGGAGTCTCTGGTAGCTCGGTGCGACCGTTCTACTGCCAGCCCTTACTCTCTCAACAGCTACTCCACCTCCCTTCTGGCGCGCCTTAATCGTGCTGCTAAAGCAACAACTGCAGCCAACCAACGGTCGAAGGGCCGACGATTCCTTGCTTTGCCCAAGAAACTGCCTTCAGTTAATCCCTACGCCTGGCCACCTGATAAATTATTCAGGTCCAGGATCTCCTCCACCTACCCTGAAATCGATAAGGTACAAACGAACCAGATTTCATTTCTCACCTTTCAATTTCTTTTGTCAGTTTTTAATGTGTCTTTTTCTGGTGTGGTAGGATGCCCCGGCGCCTGTGCAGAACCTTTTCCGCTTGAGTCGGGCGAACTTACGAACGTTGATCCTCGCAGCTGGTAGGAAGGAGGTACCAGGCTATGAAGCGGAAAAGAAACGTCTGGCTTCGGTAAGTATGGTATGCGAATCAAAGTGAATCCCATCGGTTGGTGTTCTCTGCGATACTTGAGTCTCATTTATGCATCGTTAGCGAGCTGTAGTTTAATATTTTGTGCATCTCCAGTTTCTGTTCCAAAACCGTCAAGTCTCTAAAACGAAATATTTCCGCCCACTGCTGACTGAACGTTAATTTACGAGTTGTCAGAGGCCCCTCTACATTTAACACTCCCATCTCGTTTTCTGGTAAAACAGTTTACGCTCTTTGCTTACCATCCGCAGTGCTCGTCTCCTCGCTTGCTGATTCGGCTGTCTACCCTCTTTAGCAACATGCATTTGCTCCCTTCCATATCATCGGTGTCATTTGTTCCTCCTTATATACACACTTAGATTCCTTGGTCCTACCCTACTGCTCGACCCTGTTTCGCGGAAGCGTGGCGTTTTCGTTTGCGCCAAATCCTCCTCCAACCAACCGCCTCACGTTGTGGTGCCCTAAACACACCCTCGTATTACGGTGTGTCTATGGCCACCTTAGCAGCGCATTTGCGTCTTCTCTGGCACTCTCTTCGATGGGATGAAATTATACTTTCTTCTGCTGCTTGTGAGGACGCCATGCTAGTGGGAGATCGCTATTATCTCAAACAAAGCATCTCTGAAAGTCATGGTGGTGGCTATACGCTACGAAGGGTTGTGGCTATCAAACCATTGGTGAGATTGCCCTATTTTTCTCGTCACTTGTGCCTTAATGCGTTTTGTTTGTTAAGCACATTAATGGCAGTGATGATGCCAAAGTTTAATTACTGTTCTTGCTAACACCTATTCAATTTTGTAATTCCTTTATCAAAATACTCTTAAACTCTGACTACCATTGTAGGATAAGTACTGGCTTCGAGCGAACTTCCTCGTAGAGACCTCAATTCAGAAGCCAACCACTTCGAAACGTATTCCACGTGGCAACTCACGCGCTTCTCTTGGTGGCAGTGGCGAGGTGCCGGCCTCTCGACGTTCGGGTCGCGGAAGTAAAAGATTTGCTGACCCTGACTATGATCCTGCTGCAGACGAAGGTTGGCGTGTTGGCATTCCATGCTCGAACCGCCGTCGGCGTCGCGCGAATTATAATGAGGATCGTCTGATGGAAGAAGATGAAATGGATGAGGATGCAAAAACAAGCGCAGATCAAGGTGTGGAAGACCAGGGCGATTCTTCCTCCTCGAGGCGTGATGCTAAGAAAATGGAGGAGTGGATGTCTGAGGAAGCTCTTCAGTTTTGGGAGATTCGCAACTTCTTTGACAGGCGAGCGATTTTAAACTCACTTTAGCACTTTTCTAATCGGTTGCACCTCACCCTGATTCCTTCTTTCCTTCACAGTCTCCTGCCGATCGACTGTGACTATCCACCTCCCTTGGGACCATTGGCACTCACCGGTCTTCCAGTCAGCTTGGTTGAGGAAGCGTTATCTTTAGTGAAGACGGAGGGGACGGAAGATGAGGCAGAGTGCCAAGGCAGCTGGATCCAACCAGCACGCTGTCCCTCTCCAGAGGACCTCAAACCACCCTCTCCCAAACCCCCGTCACCCCCTCCTCCCCCACCGCCACCTCCCCCTGTTGTTGTTATGGAGGCCTCGAAACCGATGGGGGTTGGTCAGCCTAGACCACCTATCGCTCCCTCTGGTGAGGCTTTATGCTGTTTCTTGCTATGCCTAGGGCATCTTTGTTGTTAAATTTGGAGGTCAAGTAATTGCAAACGAATGTATTAGAGGATAATGGTCTGGAAAGGTCTGTTGGTTTGCCTACACTGTTAAAAATACTGTATTGTTTGTTTTCTCAAGAACTTTCCAACAGACACATGTCTGATGGAGCTACTATCTTATACGCAAGTTTGCAAGTAGTTTTGTCCCTGAAGTGTCGCATTGTTATCCCACTCTTTCATTTATCCTTTAGCACCAGTATTATCACAGCCAGCATTCCGTCCATTAATAATCAACTCTAATCGACCACAAACCTTAAAAACCCCCTTGATGGCTACCTCACGCCAGCATGCGCCACCACCGGTACAGCTTACACCATCTACCGGTTTTGCTGGCAATACCACTGCCACTCACCCTACCCCACGTCGCTCCGGTGGTTCCGCTGCCGCACCCCTCTCCCCTAACTCTGAGGCGGCTCGAGCGCGGGCGCGTAGTCTAGCGGCTTCACACGCAGCACGGATCTCTGCGGCTAATCGGCGCTTCCGAACTGAGAAGGCAGCACTGGACACGAGGGTCGCCTCGTTGGTGGAAGAACTGGCCAATCGGAGGCGACTGAGTGTTAAGTACATGGCACTTCAGGTTCAGGTTCGTTAGATCGCCTTCTTTTAACCAAAATAGTGTTTTCTATGCGAAAGATCTCTTGGGTAGAGATACACTTCGCGGTTCTTTATGCAACGTAGGGGATTTTCAAACTGTGGATTTAGCCTCATTTTGCCCTGATCAGTCGGATCTGCTTTTTTTGGATTTAGTTGAACAAATCAAAAGTTTATTTGGAACTTTAAATCGAACCTGGTCTTTGCTAACCACGAGACGTTTGGGATTGTTGCAGTGTAATCGTCAGTAGTCAGTTGAGCGAACTGAGGTTGATCACGACAAAAAAAGCTCTCATTGTGCTTCGACTATCTTTAGAATTGTCTACTTCAATCGCTTTGGGCAGCCACTTCATTCGATAGTCTGTAGAAATCGACCATTTTAACTGATAAATGATTAAGTATTGCAATGGGTTTTTAATTTCACGTCTAGGAGGAGATTCTGCAGGCTAAAAAAGCAACGCAGCGTGAGGCCTTGGCGGATCCAACACCACCAGCGCCCCTGCCACCGCTTCTAACACCAAAACCGAAAGTACACGCCCCGGAGCGGTTGTTGTTGTCTGTGCGTCGGGGCAAATCGAAGTTCATCACTGCCACTGCCAGTAAAACCGTAGCCAGAAGATCAGGACGTAAGCGGGGAATAGCAAGGCAGCGGTCATTTGACACACATTCTTCAACACCATCCACGGCTCCGGCAACGGACTCTGATGAGGCGAACTATTGCATGGCTTCCCCATCGAGACACACAAAGAGGCGGAAGGTGGGGGAAGTAAAGAATGAAGCTCCTCTATATGTTAAAATGGAAACGCCAACTGTGAGTCGTCTTATTCTACAACCTGATTGAGGACGTCGATTTTTCGTTACTGGCGCAATTTGGGGTTAAGGATGCACCTTTTGAAGTAATGTCTTTTCCTGTCATAATCATTCATCGGTGACTGAGTAATGTAGTCCTGTTTCTGCGATTGCGCCTCTATCATAAATAATCGCCTCCCTAGGTAAGTAGCTAACTGCCAACGAAGATCCTCTAGATTTATTGCATGCAGGAATGTAGAGCTGCATACTAATTCAGGAAAGGAAACAGACGGCATTAAGGGTGCTGTAGGATACTGTCACAATGATATTAAATATTGAAAGGTTGCGGAGGACCGTGAGATACTGTGAAACCTCGGGTCTGCTGACATTCAGTATAACACGGGGTTTGATTAATCTTAAGATCCTAGCATCGCTTCAGGAGTTCTCCTGTTGTGACCTTTTTAAACCTAATCTTTAGGAATTGCCTTCTTTATGGAAGCGATCGACTACGGTGATGGCATTACTAATAGACTACTGTCGTGGAGGCTGAATCGCAGATCCGTTGACTGATTTTTTTCTCTTCAGCCACGCATCCGCCGCGGAGGTCGTCCTATTAAAGACATTAGCCCTCTTAACAGCAGGAAGCGTCGGCGCCGTGAAGAGTTCACACCCCCATTCTCTCCACCTAAGGCAGCAACAGCTACTAGTAGGAGTAGTCGCGGAAAGGTTCGAGGAAGGGGTGGCAGAGGTGGTTGCAGGCAAACGCACTCAACTTCATCCAACTCTCTACCTTCGAGGCCACGCCTTTCTATTCGCACACCAAAGTACCTTCTTGAAGAGGCAGAGAAAGAAAAGGCAGGAATCCGTTCAAAACGGCGCTCCAATGATGACGATGATGCAATCAAAAGGTTTTGTAAAGTGGAGGCTGATGCTTTCGATGATAAGAGGATTTATTGCATTTGCAAGAAACCCTACGACCCTTCTCAGTACGTTCGTGCCCTTTATGGCTTCTCTTAGTTGTCATTCTATCGGCGCTATTTTCTTGTGCTTGCGTTAATGTCCTTAGTTTCAGCTTGTTCGTCTTAGACTATTTGGTAAAGCCTATGCTACTGATGCTTAAATCAGTAGCAGTTGCTATCCCATATGTGACCACGATCCACCGATGGTTGTTGCTGCCTCATTCTGATGTGATGTGTTATCTTTTATCATTCCAACGTAAATGTGAGCCCCGTAGAAGCCTATGGTGCTCAATATGTCATTGTTTTCCGAAGTGTCATAAATGCTACTGCTTGCATCGCGCCTAGGGCGTACATTGGTTGCGATCTCTGTCAAGACTGGTTTCACTTCACCTGCGTTGGTTTGGAACCGGGCACCTCCACAGCCGCCTTGGGTGACTCCTGGCTCTGTCCAGAGTGTCAGCGGGCCGAGGACAAGGCAAAGGACGAGGTCTACTGCCTTTGTCGCACACCTTACGATCCTACTCGGTAACCCCTCCTTCTCTTTTGTTACCCGCCACATTTTTATTTTTCTCTCATGCGCTTTTCGCTATTGCAGATACGTGTGTGTGGTGGGTGAAGGAGGGATTGCTTTTTAGAGCAGTTAGTATATTACGTCATCCTTTGGACTTGAGTAATTAGGCTTTTTGATTTCTAAAGAGTCTACATTGCCTGCGACCGTTGCGATGAATGGTACCATGCGGAGTGCGTGGGTTTGGAGGCGGAAGCAGCGTCCAAGCACGAGGGTGAATACATCTGTCCCATGTGCATAAAAAAGACAGGTGATTCGTCGAAGGGAGAAGAAAATTTCAAGATCAGTGACAATTATGACAAGAAGATCAAGAAAGAGGACCCTGAAGAGACGCAGAGGACCCTCTATGAAGCACCTTTGACGGAGTCAGTCAGAGAGGCTGTGCTGGAGTTGTTTGACGATTTGGAGGTTGTTTACATCTGATTAATTTCATTAACAATTCATTTTTGGTCACACTACTCCTTGTTCTTTTTTTGTGCTGCTCGAACCTTTTTTTGGTAGTGCCAGCACTTTGACTATTTTTGAATTTACATTGCGTAACTAGCAGTTTCGCGTAATTCTCTCGAAAATTTGGTTTGATCACGTTCACTCATTTTCTTCTTCCTATTCATGGTTTTCCCACAGTTTGTAATTGCTGCGTATTCTGCCAATTCTCTAAAGGCACAGGTAACTTAGACACACTATCCACCATTCTCTTATCGTCACTATAGACTCACAAACTCTCGTGGCCCTTCTTGAAGCCGCTACCTCAGTCAGATCAAGCAAACCTACCCTCGCCCATGAAAGGACCCACAGGTAAATTTGTCGTTGATTTGACTTACAGGAGGTCCTTCTCTTCACTCTCATAGCCATTTCGTTGTCAGAATTCCAGCTAAGAATGAATTTCTTTAACGTAGATTCTTTATTTTTCTCATGTGATGGTTACTGCTGCAGTCATTATGGTTCTTTTCCTCCTCTAATCTAATGACGTGGGTCTCAGGTAAGAAGTCACACGTTGTTTTGACCGCATTTTCTCCATCCCGTAGATTTGGCCAGCTTCAGAGCTGCCTTTGAGCGTGGCGTTTATCGGTCTCTGGGAGATATCTCGTTCGCCGGTAACCGTCTCTTCTCCAACGCCCGTCTCGTTTTTGATGCCACCTCAACAGAGTTACACTGTGTAGAGGTGTTGGAAGCTTTTTTTCTTCGACGCATGAAAGAGGTGCGAAGTCTATCTCAACAAGCCTCTCCCTCTTCCTGATTTTGTTGGCAAGAAAATTCAAGTATAATCTGTACAGTATCTCTACTTGAATCACTGTGGTGGTTGGATGCGGAGAGGACGCCAATATTCCCCCCGTTACCCTATTTTACAATTCTTGGCCACTGCACACGCCTATTTATGTCTGTTTTGTGTGTGTGCCTGCGTATGCATGTATTTTGTACTACTTTTTATCTCTCCTCCTTTCCTAATCCCTCCGTCGTTTCGTTTGCCAAGCATATTGGGAGGGGGTGGAGGTGGAGGTGAGAAACACGAAATGTTCTTATTTATGTGTAAAGTAATACTATGAATACTTGAATTTTATTACTCTGTACATCTTCGACTGCTCTGTTTTTTTTCTGGAGTTGTGAAATGACTGTAGCGATTATATTTGATGCGATGAATTAGGGGGAAACCTCACAGGTCGCCTCTCGTGCACATTCATTGTCCATCAGGATGGCACTGAAGTGGAAGGTTGAATTGTTTTTGTGGTAGCGTCTTAAGGTGTGCATTTGGTGATGACCTTTTTCACCTAATACGTGGTTACCTGTGTGGTTTTCTCAGACGGCTCCAATGCTTGGAGTAGGAACATTCTGCTCACTTTCCAGTATCGAACAAGTGCTCTGTGTTAGTTGAAGGGTATTTGCAGACCCAGTCTAGAATTACAAGGCTGGAGTCCTCCTTCAAAGGAGCCACAATGGTTAGGCGTCCTGAAGTGACTGAATAGCGGCAGATGCTACTAGCGAATCCTTCCACTCATATCGATTAGCGTAAGCAGTTGCTACTGGCTTCCGTCTAAGAGCTGCTAAGCCCTCATCATCGAGGTCCTCGATACAATCGGTCATCTGTCCCAAGGACCGCTGCTACTACCTTGCGCCAAGGCACTTAGTACAGTGATTCACCTCCAAAGGCTAGCAACTGAGTAGCAGGAATTTTATTGCACGTTGTGACTTTATTGTCTCCGTGACAGCGAATCCGATGCAATCACATCTGACCTTTCGAACTTAGAGGCAAAAGAGGAGCAAGAGGACACATTTTAAAATTCGTCCAGTTGACCGAGTTTATTAATCCACCAATTCGAGGTTTCAATTTGTCAGCAATTCTAAGGCAATAATTCAAATTCACGTTGTTCTTTGACAACTGTCTACTTATGGTCATTTGGGCATTTACAAGGATATTGTAGTGTATTTAACCAATCGCTGGTGTGGCAAAGTTTCTTCATAGTGTACATAACCTTGTTGCACATATAAATTCCGAAAAAAAATTACATTTTACACACATAAGAGGTTCAGTGAATGCATGGACAATCGCTAAAGAGGTGAACTGATGTGATAGACGTGTCAAAAACTCACCGAGTCAATGTAGGCGCTGAAGTTGGGGTACGGCGTTTACCGCTGCTTGTCACGTTCTATTTCCGAGTGAGCCAACTACCTATCAACTTGGATTTTATCCGACGGATACAACGGGGTACTGGGGATTCACTTCGTCGACACCTTCACACATGCTCGATAGATAGTCCATCGACGAGGGTTTTAAAATGGTTTACAGCTCCCGTTGTTAATATCTTTCCTTCGGAAATTGGGACTGCAGACAGAGCTCGAAGGTAGTCGTCTCTTTCGACACCCTATGCGAAAGTTCATCTTATAACGCTTTAACCTCCATGAGCAGAATTTTGGTGGTTGCGGTGACAATTGCTTGTTGACCGTTCGGTGACTTTGGAATGTGTGGAAAGGGGGCAGAAAACAAAGTGCAAACTTGTTGCAATAATCAGTGCTACTAACTTGATTTTGTACGTCTTTCTACTAGGGACTAGTCGGCTCCTGAGGTGCTGATGCTCTCCTTCACTTTCCATATGGATTTTGTTTGTGAGGCATCTAGAATGGAGAACGGTCTCAGGACTTAGCTTCATTTACTTTGTTCATAAAGTCGTAGTCACCCATCTCCATGCCTTCATGAAAGATCGGATGATAATACATTGAGAGTAATTTGATGAACTTGATAGACGGTTAGTCTGCAACTTCACCAAATATCATTTCTTCAAAGGCATTAACAAACAAACTATGAGAAAAGCATAGACTTTTTCGCGGCCACTCATTGACTTGCAGCGAGTGATTAATTGTGCGTGCACACAGTTGTTGCCTACTGACCCACCATCTCACTACCCAATCCATGCGAAGGCTAAGCACATTACTGACACGCCAGCCCAATGCTCCACTGACCCATCGTCTCATTACCCAATCCTCGTGCTTTGTCTGTGAATAGAAGAGGACGGGGAAATCCTTAACTTGCAATAGGACATACAACAAAAGATTGGATCTATCACACCTAGTCGAAACTCTCAATGTCCAGAACAAAAATCTCGTGTAGAAACCTGCAAGAGCAATCAAGGCAATGAGAAAGTACTCCTCCTCATATCATATATCACGAGGTGATATTCATCACACTGCAATATGTATTTTTAAATGCTTCACTGCACTAAATTGGGTCCTGTTCCGGTTGATCCTCATCTTGTTAACTGGAAGCATTCACCTTCACCGATGATGACATTGACCCTCGGCAGGTGCGTAAGCGCATGCCAAGGCGGATGTACAGGAGAGCGAAACAATCCCGTTGGGACAGGGAAGGGGAGGCGACCTGAACTGATGGTGTTGCTACTTTTATGGAGCTAGACGATTTGTTAACTGCGCGAGTCACAGTGTTCTCACGTTGGCCGGGGCAGGTGTGCTGATTGTCATATTGGTTGTTTGCACGACAAAACGCAGGATTCGCTGCAAACACGATAATAATATATAGCAATGGTTACAAAGTTGGTACTTAACATTGCTCTCTGTTACCCTTCTTAATGCCTCTAAATTGTCACTCCTAGTAGGAGAATAAGCCCATTTGTAAAGGAAGTCAGGACGCAAATGTCTAGCATGGGTTTTCGAGTCAGCAGGTTCTCCCCGCTTAAAACCGCCTTGAGGAAGTTGTCGTCTTTGCCCTCTTACAGTATCGTGTAATGCTCGGTAGCGGGAGAAGGCTAAACTTAAGGAGGAGATGAGGATTGCTGAATGGACATACTCCCAATTCTTTTAATTTTAATCATCGCGCCCATATCCACTAAGCCTCTTCCATTTACAAGAGAACAATTGCCGTTTAACCCTTGACCCATCTAAGTAAACTGTTCGATTGCGTCTAGTTTTCTGGGTAGATAAATGAGTATGATGAGATTAAGATTAGAATTTCACCTCTAACCTCAAATTCATCAAACTTTCCTCATTCTCTTAAGTTGGCAGAATTCGGGAATAGTAGCTGAATGGGTCTGTATGCCCAAAATGAGCCTTCAATCACTACGTTTGGACACACACCCACCACTTGGGGAGACTCAGCATTGTTACAACATGCTTTTTATACAGAAGACCTTCAAAACAAAGTATTTCGTACTTTTCCACTTCGTATTATTTGCTGAGCGTCTGAAACAGTTTTAACCAGTACTTCGTAATTCATCCACCCATATCGTCAAGTCTAATGCTTCCGTTTAATCGTCCGAGTTATGGTATCGACGACAACCACTGGATCCTCTCACATGGAGTCCTCAGAACCGTCTGCTTTTCAAGCCGCCTGACTAGAACAAGGTCACTATGTCTACGACTCATGAATACTATACAAGCCAAATCATTCTACCGTTAGATGTAGCAAGATGTGCATATCAAAAAAGCGATTCAAAACCCAACATAGTTGTACTATTAGACAATGGAAGGAGTCGTCTCTGCGTCATGTTCATAAATAGACAGCAACCAGGACGTCCTCCCTTGCCTTCTTCACCTTGACTACAGGTTATGGTAGTCATTTTATGCTCAGGTGTTCCACCTACCCTTGCCTCTCTTCTCCACCTCATCTTCCTCCCCTCCTTCCCTTTTGTCGTCTCATCTTCTCCGGTTTTATGACTGGATTGCTTCATTCAACACAGTGCACAGATTTTATTACAATTTCAGTCAGATAATGATGAAAGGGGAGGACACCGTCTGTTCTGGTTTGACGTAATCTTCGAATCTCCAAAACCTAGTTTTATTGTGTCTTTGTCTTTTTGTTTTAGGTTCAATTGTTTAATTTATTGCCTATAACTTTCTTGTTAATCTTGGATTTGGGAATGAAAAGCTTTGGGAGTTTCTGCACCCTTCTACTCGCTCTGTTAGGAGGTAAAAGGGTGTAAGCTACGCTCACTCTCCACCTCCCACAACATTTAATGATTCAATGTACTGCTGCTCTTATCGATGACAATCTGATGTCTTGATGTCAAGCATGAGCCAATTATCGGGGGAGAGGGCTATGGGGCACACTCTGGATGTGTGGCTTGAGGATCATCAATTCCAGTACTTGTTGAGCTGCAGAATGGAAGTCACTTTGATCGTAGCTATCAATGCCATTGGATTGTTTAAACACTCAAGCGTTTCACTGCCTATCACACAACGGTCCAACTTTCAAATCATCTTGGAGTGACATTGATGGGATTGGTTTTTGACCCATTCGTTTACACTTACGGTAGTGTCCTCATGCACTACCACTGTCCAGACTGAGCTAACCTAACCCCTAGACAAAGGACGGATTTAGCTTGTACCCTGTTGTCTACAGTCCTCACATTCTCTATAGTCCATACGCCAAGGCCACTCACACAGAATGTGGGCTTTACTTTTTAAATTGCCTTTAATGCGAATTGCTTTCTTTTGTACCTTTTTGTAATGCTTTACAATCATGCAATCGACCAATCAGAGATGCCCTATGAACACAATACTGAACACATGCATTCGCAAATAAGGATTTTGATCAGAAACTAGGTGAAACTCAAGTGAACCGCTGTACATGTCACAGGGTATTCGTGAAGCCAGAAATTAACATTATGCAATGAATACTCAACTCCCAACTACCGGCTTCCAGGGTAGATGGGGGTTAAGAAACCACGTTTGTTGATCCATTTGCTGCTGTTGTATTTGAGCGGTCTCTTCAACCACCACTTGCTGCTGTTGTTGGTGTTGTTGCTGCTGCTGTTGCTGGTGGAGGTGGTGAAGATGATGGGGATTTTGGCTGTGTTGTACTGTACTGGTGGTCCAGTCCACTGCAGACGGATCAAAGATTAATGGATAGGGATTCGCTTCTCCTTCCACACCTCCAGGTGTCGATGCGTCCGTGCTTCCGCTATTTCCTGGAACCGTTGTGTATTGCTCAAATCCGTCTGTATTGTAAGTAGTACAAGAGCCTGCAAACAGCATTCCTAAATATGGTTGTTGCTGATGCTCTTGTTGAATGTGTTGATGACCTTCCTGCTGAAGGTGTTGGTGGTCAAGAAAGTCAACCTCGGTAGAAGTTTGTGGCGCTGGTGGTCGCCATGTGTAGGCATACTGATCATCTGGTTGTGGAATCTCCTGAAAGGAACCCTGAGTTGGAGGGAAAGGTGATGGTTCTAAAAGGGACTGATCACTCGGCATGAAGTATTCTAAAGTAGAATGCTGTCGTTGTTCGGTAGGGAAGAAGAACTCAGACTGAGCAACTTCATCAATGGGTTGAAAGATGAGCTGTTGGTTTTGTTGATGGAGTAACAGCGTTTCAAGTTCTGAAGCTTGTTGGTGCTGTTGGTGTTCGTGCTGCTGTCGGTACTCTAAGGTGGAGTCTTGGACTAAAAAAGGTAAAGCTTAAGAGCATGCGTTCGAGATCATAATAACGGAACTTCTTCTCCTCAGAGAAATTTTTAGCTGATGATACACTTATTAGTGGTCTAATATTGATAAGCATCATCAATCTCTGCTTGGATTGATAATCCTCTTAAGGACCGATGATAGGGCAGGTGGTAGCAGATGAAGGAGGAGAGGTGGAGAAGGAAAACGCACATCTTGAGCTAATACTAATTTTCCCCTTATGTGAAATTCAGCACCCAATATGACTTTATCGTTTCATTCGATTATTTGAGATTTGGTGTTACAGCTATATAACCGCCCGATTTTATTACCTAAGACCGGTGTCTTTAGTGTCACCTACGTCCTTGATTAGGTCGCGGTAATCGTAGCCGCGTCAATTCTGGTGTCAAGACCAGTTTGGAAGGACATTACTTACCAGTACAATGCTTTCTGCCTAAATGAAATAAGTGCATCCACTTTTACGTTTTGAGTTGCTAGAGATGAGAGTGACAGCGTTGAGGCTACTGAGCAGAGAGGATTGGTAACCCATTTAATTCTGAGTTCCCTCAACAAAGTGCTTTGGAGTATTTTAGCATTTTTATTCACACCTTTTAAGTCGATGTATACAAATTTGTATAATAAGACTGAGGATTGATACAGGAACTTACTGAGCTGGTTGGAATCATGTTTAACGGCCTCATTTTGAATGGTTGAAATGATTTTCGTCTGCAAGGTGAAGTAACGGGATTAGATTTCAAACAAGTCAGTGCAAAAGAACATAAGATGGATTAAGGACGTT